GTGTTGCAGTCTTGTAGAATTGCATCGGACCACAATGCAGTTGCACTGGCTGACTTAATTTATAGAATATTGCATAGTTGCCTTTTGTGATTGGTAGATTAGATATGTAAAACTCATTTTTAAACAATTTTTAATGTTTTTAAATAATTAATTTTTGAGAATTTAATGCAATTTTTAATATAATTTGATGATTTATTTGTTCTCAGGTACTTTTCCATCCAAACAGCAAGCCAGCAGACAGGGAAAATAACGGCGAATTTGATGCAATACGCTACAACCAGTACAAGGCCATTTACAGATCAGGTATGTGTATTACAAATTTGTGACCTAAGCTCACAAAAGGGCTGTAAACTCGCACCGTACTGTATTGAGAAACGAGTCCCAGTAGCCAGAATAGGCCATAGAACATGAATTTTGTGTGAAATTGGGTTTTTGTGCAATAAATAAAGTATAACTTTTAATCTTACTATTCCTGAAGTTTGAGTTTAAAATACCAACTGTAAGAGGTAAAATTTAGCCATTTTCGGATGGGAGCTAGTGAAAAATGAATAAAAACCTGCCGAAAATAAAAGCATTTTTCTCAAAACTTGATTTAAGAAAGTTGATAAGATGACAATTATTCAAACAGGTTCATTTTAACTGCCATTTTAAAGTAAATGATATGTTCTATGCCTTTATAACACAAAACCTCATTTTGGCCTGAGGACGAGTTTACAGCCCTTTTGTGAGCTTGGGACACATTTCATTGTGACTATCATTTATTCACACCCATTGTGAAACCAATGTAATGGAACTAAATTGGTGCTAAATACCATACTTTGGATACTGTTGCTAAGGTATAGGACCTTAAAACAGCTTAAATATAAGCTTAACATGTTTATGGAAGGTGTGCGATTCCTGACTAATTAAGGGCTCAATTGGAAACAAGCTGTTTTCACATAAGCTACTTTTACATTGTAGTTACCGGTGGGTATCTGCATATCCACCTGTGAAATCAAGGCTCAGTAGAACACAATTTAATGTTGTAATTAATATTTTTAATAAAAGCATTCACATGATTTCTTTTTTCGGGATTATCACTTTGTATCCAATGGAAAGTACAATGCCTGGTCAATATATAGAGACTATCCTAGTATATAAACGGCATCAATTTTTATCTTTTGCAATTTTGTGACTTACAAGATAGGACGTTTTTCATATATTAGAAATTGTTATTGTTGCATTTTATTGTATCTAATTATTATTATTATTATTCTTTCTTTGGGCACACAACACGTGCCAGGGATTGCCAATAGCGAATATATATCACTGTCCTATTGTTTTATACTGAATAAAGTCAAGTCATCATCAAATCAAATAAAACATGTTGTGATTGATTTATTGATAAGTGTAACTTGATTATATTTTTCATGTTTTATTTATGACAATAGCGTTTTCTTTCATCTATTGTACCTTAATACCTTCAGGTAGAATACTGTATTATTATGACATATAAGCTTGAAGAAGCCACTGTGATTTTGAAAGCTTTCTTAATAAATACAGTATATAGCCTTAAATTGTAGTTCCTTTGATTATTGAGTATGCATTAGTATCTATATATATTTATATATTTAGGTATATTTATTGCAAAAAAGAATGGCACATAAAAAACAGTCTATTGCAGCATAAGCTGAATTGAGAGACTGAAAAATTATTACAAATATTGGCCATTAAAAATTTACGAATCATTATTAAATTAGAGCAATATTAAACATTAAAATTTACATTAAAACCTTAAAAATTACAAAGACGTATTACATATTAAAAATTCAAGAGAAATTAAACAATTAAGTCTCTAAAAATATATATACAATTTCATCATAAAAAAAACAAAAAAAACTGCAATCAATCAATCTACAGGAGTCATGCATGAGTCATGACTTTGATTGATAGTTACTGAAGTACCCCCAGGACCCCATCTGTAATTCCAATTTATAAATAATTATGGGATACTTTTCCAATGTAAAAGTTCAAACTCAAAAAGTCTATTTGAAAGCCTCATTTGTCTTCTAAATCATATTTAAACATGAATTTGATTGGCTCAGTAGTTTCATCGGACCAATCAGATTTATGAAGTCCATTGAAAACTTTTCCCGAGACGCTTATGCATTACAAGCATATAACCATCTGATGTTCACATGGATTCAGCGCTCTTGAATACCAGGCAAATTGACTATATTGTCCATATTTTTAAACACTAAGTTTGTGATCATAAGCTAGAGATAAAGATAGAGATTCTTATGATGTAAGTTTGAAGCAGTAAATATTTATAGTTTTTTGGTACGAGCAGTTTATAAATGTCAGTTTTTGAAAAAACAACATAGTTTTCTGAGCGGTTTGCGCATCACCGGCAGCGTAAGCTTTACAATTCCCATTTTCTAATGTGTTAGGTTACTGCATGTGTGAGTGTTAAGGAGAAAGTACAGTGATTGCTAGGCTTGTTGTGGTATTAAAATTTGATTAAAAAAAATGTATATATTTGTGTTGAAATGTAAATGAAATACCTTATAAAGTTTTCACTGTAGTTGTTTAATTTGTAGTGTGTGAAAACACCTTAAATTATAAATGAACTGTTCCAAATTAATTACGCGCTTGAATCACAGTTCACAGTAAAGCGCATAGTGCGCGTCGGCCCATCATTTAGAGTGATATTCAGTGAATTAAATGCAGTGCTTGCAAAAAGGTATCATAATGGATATTAAAATGCATAGAGAATTTTTTGTAAATTATTGAGGGCAGTGTTTTCCTAAAACTTGATACATACATTTTAAAATTACTATCAGTTTTATCATGGAGGTATAAAATATACCTCCATGGGTTTTATTAAGGCAGGTGGTACAAAATATTAATGAAGAAAAAATCATAGATGATTGTCATCATTAATTTTATATCTTCATAATCAAAACTTGATTTTTTTTTTTTCCATATCTATAGAGGGTGACCCTTCAAGCATATCCTAGAAGGTCGGCTGATATTATTTCTTTCTCTTTATTAGGCTTAAGGATTGGAGTTGTTTGTAGTCATGAGCAAAATTCCTGCTGTCACAAGAATTCAACCCAGGACCCTCAGATTAGAAGGCAAACATCTTAACCACTAAGTTATGCAACTACACTCTATCATTAAACAATGTTTCAAAAATCAACTAAAACATTTACTTACTATTATATAAAAGTAAGAAACCTTTTCTTTTATCATTCTAATTTTCAATTGAAAACCAGTTATTTCATACTAACTCAAATTTCTGTGTTTTGAAGACTTGGTCACAAATTTCCATCCTCTAATTGCAAGCATACATGTTGCTGGACATGAAAACATAACATTTTAATAATTGAGCCAATCAAAGGAGATGTCTTGTCATGAAAGCACCGCTTTAATATATAAAAAGCTTCTTTATTGGTTTATTAAATTTCACAACCCCATTGGCGGTAAAAGCTTTAAAAGTTGAGTCAGCTGAGTGCTACATCAAGAATATTGCAAAAAATAATTACTAGGATTTTCTCGACCTTACGTCTGGGAATTAAATGTCTTTATAATAAGATACATCTACAAGGTCTCGGTACTTGTCCTTGCTGAAGAAGTCAAAAGTTCACAGTTATTTTGATTAACGTAGATATATGTAAATGATAATGGAAATGAAAAACGAAGAAATTCATCATATGAGATTATATAAAGGATGTAAATTAAATGGAGCTAGAGCTTGGTGGTTAAAGGTGCTTTTCTTTCAATCCTATGGTCTTGGGTTCGAATCGTGTAACACAGGTTGTTTTTTTTCTTCCAACTAAAAAACAAATCTTCTTCATAAAGCCTTTAAGAGGTTTATTTTACATAAAATTAACGAGCGGATACATCAAATACCTGAATTAATTAACGGTGTAGGCACCAAGTAAGCCTTTTTAAAGCAAGAAAGAATTTGTCAAAATGTGGCATGACAACTGAACTTTGCTTTTGGACGTATGCTAGTGATATTGGTTTCCAAAATTCCAAATATTAAACTTTGCTGCAAATCGATTTAAATGGTCAAAAATGTTCATTAATGTTTAATCAAAGGAAGGTCCGTCTCATTTTAATGTTACATCTGAAAAAAGAACAGTTGTTTAATTATAATGTTAATTACAAGCATTATATAAGCATTATGAATGATTAGAATGGCCAAAAGTTAAGGCAGGGGTGCTGCAACGTACGGCCATAATATCGTGCTGGTTTTCGAACAGCACGCTCACCTGTGGTTCTGGTGGTAGAACAAGTTTTCTCGGATAAGGACTATAAACTTTAGGCCCAGTGTACACAATTTGGCTCATGTGCATTTTAAAGAACCCAGTACAGCTTTCACAACAAGTAGGGGGTTACCCCAGTGTACTGGTGTTGTGGACAAATAAGAAGTTGCTGGTAGCTCAGACACGGAGAGACCCTTAGGAGAGAAGCAAGTTATTACACGAGCTAGTCCACATGCTAAGTGCTTGAAGGCTTGGGTGTAAAGCACTATATAAATTTAAACTGCATTTACTTTGATCTGATCGAAAATGTATACTAGAGAGGGAAGTTTCAAAATTTATATATACATAAGTTAGATAATGAGAAACCACATAAAGATGGGTTCGGCCGTGTTGAATTTAGTTGTCTGAGTTGGTTTTCGTCTGAGTAGCTATTGCAATAATTACGGATATAATGCTTGATTAACACACAGGGACAAATAGATTTGTCCCTGCATTAGCATCCACAGTATATTTGTCTGCATTTTATATTAAACATTAATTTATCCCTATTATGCTCTGTCCTACTATCATTTTTTTCTGTGACAAATTTGTGTGATGTGCCCAAGTAAGCCATGTCATATTTTGCCCAAATATGGGCATATCACACCCAAATATAGGCATATCACACCCAAATATAAGCATATCACATTAATTTGTCACATAAAATTTGATAGTCTAGACAGCTTTAGGAATTTTCTGATTTAATTTTTTAAGCATTTTTCATAATTTTAACACACACAGTTTCAGATCAGTACAGTATAATACTTTCCAACAACTGACTCATTCTGTGATATTTGCCAGTAGTCTCTTTAAACCATTTTAAAAATTGAAATTACTCTTTTAATTTGTGACTATCCCTTTAATTTAGTTTCATCCAGTGAAGAAAGAACTAGAAAATGTTATTTTTAATTTATATAAATTTGAAAACATTTTGAATCCTGTTTTGATTAGAACTAGAATCCTTTTGCTATTTTGTAATAAAAGAAAATACTGTGACCCGTCCCATTAATCCCAATTGGATTAAGAATTCATTAGTAGTAAATAGATGAACATGTATCATAATAATTTTGACATGAATTTTATAAGTGCTACTTAATACGGTAAGCAAATCGCCGATTTTTTTTTACGTTAATGATCAATGAATGATATAAACTTACAAAGTCATATTGAGTATCATGTTCCAATTCATATCAAGGTATCATTGATGCAACAAAATGTCATATAGATATATCTTGATGAATTCCATCTCAAATATAAGGACTAAATAGTGTGCTTGTGGCAGCTTGAATTTTCTTTTCAGTTATCTTTGAATTGAAGCATTTTTTTATATGAAAAGGAACTATTTCATTTGATAGCTATCCTCAATACAAACATTTCTTCTAATGTTTGAGCACTGTTTTTATCTATTACCTATTTGTTTATATGTTCACATGGCTATATAGAAACTATATAAAGTATAAAGTAAAAAACAGCAGCACTTTTGAGACTAACAATATATAATTTATTCTCTAGCTTTCGTCCACATCAGTCTCCTGTTTTTTACTTTATACTTTCTATACTGTACAGACTAACGCGGCTATACTTTTTATTCTAGAAATTATATGTAAAAATATTAATTTTGAAAAAAATGGTTGTATATTGACAGCATTAGAATTATTCTTACAATCCAACTTTGTTTTTCAGGTGGTGTTAAGGGTTGCGGGGGAGTCAAGGGTGATATCCAAAGACATAACCCTCCTCTGATATTTAACCTGCTGACAGACCCAGGTGAAGAACACCCTCTGGACACACAGTCAAACGAATATCAGGATGCATACACTCATATTAAACTAGCACGTATGCGCATGGATCGGAGTATATTTCAAGACAATACAACGGTTGCGGACTACTCACAGTCGCCGGATGCTGAACCTTGTTGTAATCCTAATCATGTTGTTTGCCGATGTACATTATAATCATATTATCAATGATTCATGTTCACCATCTGCAATCTCATAATGGAAATAGAAGTGCGCCCTCTACAACTAGGTACTGAAATAGAAGTACTACTTA